ACACCTTCCAGAATTGCTAACACCTCCTCCTTATGAACCTCAATCCCATCTAGTCTAATAGCCTGTATCTCAGTATTCTCCTTGACAACATTGTCTTTTTCCTGTGTGAATACTGACAAAAAATATTCATTTAGCGCCTCTCCTATCTCTTCTGACTCCACGCACAACTTCCCACTACTGTCCTTGACTGGCCCTAATCTTACTCTCATTGTAGTCATCAATTTCAAGCCATCCTATTTATCACCAGTTATGCTGTTTTACAATTTCCCTGCTCCTAGTTCTTATATTCCACATTTACTGATGCACCAACAATTTGCCACAAAGGTCAATATCCAGCATTGGAAGGTTGAGGCGCCTATCACCTACCCAGGGAGGTCGTTTCTAGGGGAGTATAGTTTCTACTTATGGTCCTTCACCTCTCTAACCTCCTAAATCCATCTTCTCAGACAGAGTCGAATCCTTTTACTACTTCAAAGGCCTTGGTTAAATTTTTAGAAGAGGTCTGGGTCGAGTGGACAGGGAAAAACTGTTCCCACTCATAAAAGGATTGGGAATGAGAGGGCACTGATTTAAAGTGATTTGCAAACGTAGCGAACATGATGTGACAAAGGACTTTTCCATCGAACGAATGGCTCAGGTCCAGAGATGTGGTGGAGGCAAGTTCAAATGAGGTATTCGAGAGGGTTCTGTGTGATTATCTGCACACAAGAAAAAAAACAACGTTCAGGGCATGGGGAAAAGGCAGGTGAGTGGCACTAATTTGTAAAGGTCACTGGAGAACCAGAGCAGACAAGATGGGCCAAATGGCTTCCTTCTGCATCGTAACCATTTTGTGATTCTGTGAAGTGAATATGCCCAGGTGTCTTAGCGCCTCCAGTGAGATGTCAATCAAGTGGTCCTTTCAGTGGGCTTTATATCGTGCAAAGACAGACCAAAACAGGACGAGGACTGATCTCAGAAGCATAGTACTGTGGATGCTGAAATTTTGAAATACAAACAGTAAGTGCAGAAACATCAGGTCTGGGAACATCTATGCTCTTCTCTGAGTAGTGTTGTAGGATCTCTTGTATACACCTGAGACGGGGGTGGGGCAGACAAGGTCTCAGTTTAATGTCTCCTTTGAACACAGCACGCCTGACAGTGCAGCACTCAGAGTACTGTTGAGCATCTGCCTCCTAAGCAGAGCACACCCCACATTTTAAAAAAAAATTTCACAAGATGTAGGCATCAGTAGCAAGGCCAGTGTTTATTGCCCATCCCTCATTGCTCTCAAGGAGGTCATGGTGTGCTGCCCTCTTGAACTGCTGTGGTCCATCTGGATTGACATTTTCCTGGGTCGTTTCAGAGAGACAGTTCATTGTCAAACTTATTACTGTGGTCTGGACTCATATCACCAGAGCAGGTAAGGATGACACAAGTACATTAAAATGAAGCAGGGTTTTTATGAGAGCAACTGAAAGCTCTATGGCCATCACTCTGGGCAAGCTGTTAATCCCAGGTTTTTGAATGAATTGATTGGAGTTAAAATCTACCAGTGGAGCTGGGATTTGAACCCATGTTCCCAGATTAGGATCATAGAATCCCTACACCAACCCTCCAAAGAGCATCCTACTCAGACCCACTCCCTACCCTATAACCTTACATTTCCCATGGCTAATCCACCTACCCTGCACATCTCTGGCCAATTTCTGGCATGGCCAACACACCTTTGGACTGTGGGAAGAAACCGGAGCACCCGGTGGAAACACACGCAGGCACAGGGAGAACATGCAAACTCTACGCAGACAGTCGCCCAAGGCTGGAATCGAACCCGGGTCCCTGGCGCTGTGAGGCAGCAGTGCTAACCACTGAGTCACTGTGCCACCAGTAGTAATCCAGTAACTAGTCCAGTAACACCAGTATACGCTGCCCTTTGAATCAGATGTTTCACACTTTCAACAACATTCAACTAAGTCAAAAACAGAAGAACCAGCCATTCAAATCCTCACCATTAACCACGACAGGGTCCCTACTATCTGATTTAATTCTCCAAAATCCCTTGTTTACCAGTATTCCTGTCTTCCCATCCACAGTGTAAGAATTGTTGGAGGTTGAACTCTTAGCCGGACGCTCCAGGAGTATGGTGCCATCTTTGTACCAGGTATAATTGGATGGCGGTGATCCTTCTGACTCCTTGCAAGTCAACATGACCTTCGACCCCGAGATTGCAGAGCTTGGAACTTTACACGTGGGAACAACCGGTGGCACTGGCAACGAGAAAACAGTGATGAGGCGGGCACGGCCACATAAATCACTAAAGGTAAAAAAAAATTCATAACAGGCAGCGTGCAAGATGCAGGTGGCTAAGGTTCCTTTGACAGCACTTTCCAAGCCTGTGACGTCTGCCTCATACAGCGATAAGGGGCAGCAGCTGCATGGAAACACCATCAGGTTCCTCTGCAAGTTCCACATGACCCTGGCCTGCAACTAAATGGCCTTTGCTGCTCTGGTGCCGGGTCAAAATGCTGGAAGACCCTCCTAAACAGAACCCAATGGGGATAACTGTACCTCACCGATGAAGGCCAGATAGCTCAGAGTGTACGCTTCAGATAAATGTCGACTCCTGTTGCAGATGAGGTAGACTTGGGACTTGCCTCCTCACCCTGCCCCCTGGGAGTGGCAAAACACCACCAACAAGAAAGAGTCAAGGCCAACATCCCTGTGTTGCCAGGCAACAAGACAAGGGCCTGCCTCAGGCAGAGCACAAATGGATGGATGGACACCATATGGACTGCAGTGGTTTGAGAAGGTGGCTCACCATCACCTTCTCCAGGGCAATTAGGGACACCCAATGAAATGTGACCATTCTACTCATATCTATATTCAACAAATGAATTAAAAATCAAATTCTTAAATGTTGTTAATGTGGCACAGAGGAGGATTATATCATCTAAGCACATGGGATGATGTTTGAACAGGTGATGAACTATTTAGCCAAAAACATTTTTTTTTAAAAAAAGAGCAGGATAAAAGACAGAGAAAAAGTGGGGAGGGAGAGAGAGAGAAAGAGAAAGAAAGAGATACAAAGAGCATGATAGAGATAGATACGTACAAAGATAGAGAGAGAGAGAGAAGGGAATTTCAATCTTTGGGCCTTGGGCAATAGCAAGCCCAGGCCCCGATGGTGATGCAATCACAAACAAGGATGCTCGAGAGGGCTGGAATCAGTGGATGTGTAAACCTCAGTGGGTTTGAGGAAGAAGATTGTGGCCCAGTCAGCCCCTTGAGCCTGTTTCACCATTCAATGAGATTGTGGCTGACCTGTAACTCCATGTAGCTCATAATCATTACTACCTTAAATTACCCAGGAATCTGGTGAACCCAGCAAGCCCACTCCATCCAGACACAGCAGAAACCCACACGCTGCTTCCGCTCCTTCAAATTGCAATCTCAACAGCCCTCATCAGCCTCCTCTGTTACCTCCTTAAAAAATTCCAGCAAGTTAGATAAATGTGATTTTTTTTTTGTAAAGAAATCCGTGCTGGCTCTCCTCAAATAACCCATGTTTGTCCACGTGGCTATTGATTCCATCAAGAATGACTGTACTTAGCGGGTTCCTCACCACCAAAGTTAAACTGACTGATCTGTAATGAATGATTTATCCTTACTATCCTTTCTGAACAAAGTTTGCAATCCCCTTATCCTCCAGTGCATCTGAGCAAAACGAAGACGAAACAAACTATTGACAGTACCTCAACAATTTCCACTCTCACTTCCCTCACTATTCTTGGACGAATCTCACATAGGCCTGATGCCTTTCAATCTTTAAGTAAGGTCAGTGTACCCAACTGGCTCTCCTTATTAATCTTAAAGCCATCTAGCATCTGCATTTTATCCTCTTTCGCCATAGGATCTACCTTGTCGGTAAAAACAGATGCAAAGCATTTGTTTAACACTTTGGCCATTTCTTCTGCCTCCATGAATAAATCACCTTTTTGATCCCTAATGGGCCTCACTCCTCCCTTCACCACACTTTTACTATTATATGCCTGTAGAAAACTAGGTTTCCCCGTTTGGTTCACTGCCGGTCTTTATTCATTCTCCCTCTTTGCTCTTGTTTCTTTCTCACAACCCCTCAGGACCTTCAGCCTGGTTCTCAACTGTATTTTACACCTGACACCTGTCATAAGCACTGTTTATCTTCTTTATCAGAACTTGTACACCTTTTGTTATCTAGGGAGCTCTAGATTTTTTTTGTTTTGATTTCTCTTTTAAGGGAACATACTTTGTGCTCAAACCAATTCTTCTTTGAATGTTCAGCTGCTGGTTTTCCTTTGACTCCAAATTATTCCACTTGGATCCAGTCTTGCTGCATTGACATTGACTTCCTGCACCAACCACCGCTCCCGCCCCCACCCCCCCCCCGGCCCCCCAATTCATTACTGCTAGTTAGAAATGTTCATTTTCCTTTTCCACAGTAATCCTGAACCTTATGATCACTGTCCCTCAAATGTTCTCCTAATGACTTCTGGCTCACCTCACTCCTAAGAACCAGGTCTAGAAGAGTTTCCTTTTGGTGTTGAACTGGAAACTTACTGCTGGGAAAGAAAAATCTTGATCACACTTTAGGAATTCTTGCCCTTTGCTATTATCCCAGCTTATATTTGGGCAATTAAAGTCCTCCAGTTTAACAACTGTGTAATTTTTGTCCCTCTCTGTAATTTCTTTTACATTCTTTTTCCTCTATATACTTCCTATGAGTTGGTGGGAAGTCTTAACTGCCTCATAGATCAAAAGTCTGTCTAATTTGTTCAATGATACAGACCTCCACAGGCCTCAAGAATTCCAAAGACTAATGAAAGACTATGGGGAAATTCCTTCACTTTCTCCATCTAAAATGGTGGTCACATATTCTGAAAAGGAGCCATTATTCCAAACATCTAAGCAGCTGAAGATGGTTATGGGCAACATGTAACACATAATACTTCTCAACAAAGATTTGATGGGCTTCTTGAACCAGCAAATTGTTTTTGAGGCTCAGGTCCCATGAAGAGAATGAAACAGGTCATCCATTTTCTTCATGATGTTAAGGGAGAGTGTTGGCCAAGATACTGAGAGAACCTTGGGTCTCCTCCCAATAGTCTAAAGAAATCTTTGCTGATCAACTGAAGTTCAAGGACAAAAGGGGTATCAAATGCTGGTCCAGCCAGCAACATCCACATCTTATGAATGAATAAAAAAAAAACTCTAGCTGAAGCATGGATTTAAACTTTTGAAACACTGCTTCTGTTGATCTACATCATCATAACATCTGAAGCAAAATAAAAATTGCTGCAGTTGGGTTTGGGAGCCTCATGGTCACAATGCTGGGCTTGCTACAGAGAGGATAAATGAGAGCAACAAACATTAGGAAGTTCTGAGGAAGGCCCACCGGACCCGAAACGTTAATTTTTTCTTCACAGATGCTGTTAGACCTACTGAGCTTTTCCAGCAACTTTTATTTTTGTTCCTGATTAGGTTGTAGAACCTCGCAACACCAAACAGCTGTTTTGCTGAGCAAAGAGAAGTCTGACGGGAAACCTGATTGAGGTGTTCAAAATTATAAGGTAGATAGGAAGAAGCTTTTACCCCTAGTAAAGGGGTCACTACCCAGGGGACATCTACTTAAGGTAAGGGGCAGGAGACTGAGAGGGCATTTTATGAAGAATTCTTTTATTTAGTGGGTGGTGGATATCTGGAACTCACTGCCTGAAAGGGTGATAGAGGAGGAAACGTTACAATATTTAAATGAACACTTGAAATGCCCATAGCATTCTAGGGTAGGGGCCAAGTGCTGGATAATAGGACCACAGTAGTAAGTGCTTGTTGACTGACGCAGACACAGTGGACTGAACGATTCTTTCCATGTTGCAAAACTCTGTGATTCAGTGATAATCAGCGGCTGACACCTCCATTAAGGTTGTTAATGACTTTCCTATCCCAATTCCAATTTAAGCCAGAAGTGAAGTGAACAAAAACAGAAATTGCTGGAAAATCTCACAAAGTCTGGCAGCATTTGTGGGGAGATATCAGAGTTAATGTTTCCGGTCCAGTGACCCTTCTTCAGGACAGTTATGTTTTTGTTTCAGGTTTCCAGCGTCCACAGTTCTTTCAGTTTTATGTTGAGAAGTGAAGGGATTGGGTGCAGTACTGGCCAGTACCAGCAGAGGACATGACATCACCACATATCAGGAAGAATCAAAGTAGCCTCTTGAATCACAGACTTGCTACGGTACAGAAGGCCATTCAGCCCATATCCACACCAGCTCTTCAAGCAGACATCATTACCTACTGCCAATCTGCTGCTTTCCTCCATAGCCTTGCACATTACTTCTTTTCAACGCTCTCCTGAACGCTTCAATTGACCCTCACTCCCCAGTCACACAGGACACCTGTGTTTCAATTTTCCCCAGAGTTTTTGCTTCCAGTATGTCCCTGAAAGATCTCATTCAAAATAGTTGCAATCTGTGGCCTAATTAATTCTTGCAAACATATGAATTAATTTTTAAAACTGGGGTACGTGAGTTTAAATGCCACAATGGCATTTCATAGAATCCCCACAATGTGGAAGCAGGGCATTCGGCCCATCGAATCCACACTGACTCTCCAAACAGCATCCAACCCAGACGCATCCCCTACTCACCGTAGATACTAAGGGCGATTTACCGTAGCCACCTAGCCTGCACATCTTTGGACTGTGGGAGGAAACCGGGGCACCTGGAGGAAATCCATGCAGACATGGGGAGAACATGCAAATTCCACACAGACAGTTGCCCAAAGCTGGAATTGAACCCGGGTCCCTGGTGCTGTGAGGCAGCATTGCTAGCCACTGAGTCACCATGTTGTCACAAACTAAAGTTTCATGCCTGGATAGTCTCGAACCACAAACCTTTAAGTTTAGAGCCGGATGCTGACCAGCTCAGCCACAGAAACTGGTGAAATTGGTGAAACTTAATTTCAATTAATGGAATCTGGAATCGCAAGTTCATCTTCATGAAGGGATCACCAACTGTCGTTAAAAACAGATCTGGTTCATTAACGTAAAGGAAGAAAGAACAAAATCTGCCGTCCTTACCCAGTCTGCCTTACATGTGACCCCACACCAGACCTACAGCAACCTAGGAGATTCTTCAGTGTCCTCCAAACCGATCAAGTAAACCACACAGTTCAAGGTCAATTAGATCATATGACACAGGAGCAGAAGTAGGCCATTCAGCCCATCAAGTGTGCTCTGCTATCCAATTAGATCATAGCTGACCTGATAATCCTCAATACCACTTCCCTGCCTTTTCCCCATAATCCTTGATTCCCTTCTTGATTAAAAATCTGTCTATCTCAACCTCCAATATCCCAGCCTCAACCACCCTCTACGGTACAGAATTCCACAAATTCACTATCCTCTGAGAGAAGAAATTCCTCCTCATATCTGTTTCAAATGGGCAACCCTTTATTCTGAGATTATGCTCTCTGGTCCTAGACTCTCCCAGATGGGGAAACAACCTTTTTGCATCTACCCTGTCAATTCCTTTAAGACTCTTGTATGTTTCACTAGGGTCATCCCTCAATCTTCTAAATTCCAAAAGTACAGGCCCAATCAACTCAACCTCTCCTCATAAGACAGTCCCTCCATACCTGATATCAGCCCAGTGAACCTTCTCTGAACTGCCTTCTATACCAGTATAGTTTTCTTCAGGTAACAGTTTGAAGTATTCCAGTTGTGGTTTGACCTATGCCTTGTATAGTTTTGACCAAATCTACCTACTGTCATACTCCATCCACTTTGATTTAAAAACCAATTCCATCTGCCTTCCCTATTACCCAATGAACTTAGACACTAGCTTTTTGTGGTTCACGGATGAGGATTCCCAAATCCCTCTGTTCCACAGCTTACTGCAGCCTTTCTCCATTTAAATAATATTCAGCTCCTCTCTGGGCCAAGTGATGGAAAATGGGATTGGAATAGTTAGGGTGCTTGTTTTTAACCAGTGCACTGCTCATGGGCTGAAGAACAATTTTCTGGGCTGTAGACCTCCATGACTCTATTCTTCCTGCCAAAGTGCATAACCTCACATTTCCCCACATCATATTCCATCTGCGAAGTTTTCACCCAGTTTTGCATTTATATCCCTCTTATATCCCTCTACAGATTTTTTCTCACCCTCACCACTTGCTTTCCCACATATTTCTGTGTAATCTGCAAACTTGGTGATAGTACATTCATTTTTCTCATCTAAGTCATTGACATATTGGTAAATAATTATTGCCCCAGCACTCATCCATGTGGCACTCCACCGGTTAGAATTATGGAATTCCAACAGTGCGGGAAAAGGCCATTCAGCCCATCAAGTCTGCAACAATCCTCTGAAGAGCATCCCATCCAGACCCCCACCCTATCCCCATTAGCCCACATTTCTACCAAACCTGAACATTTCTGGACAGCGGGAGGAAACCGGAGCACCCGGAGGAAACCCGCGCAGACACAGGGAGAATGTGCAAACTCCACACAAACAGTCGCCTGAGAGTAGAATCGAACCTGGGTCCCTGTGAGGCAGCAGTGCTAACCAATGAGCCACCGTGCTACCCTAGTTACAGATTACCAGCCTGAAAATGGCTTTCTTATCCCAACTCTATCTTCTAGTAGTTAGCCAATGCTCTATCCATAATAATCTACCACTTCCAACAACATGCGTGCTTTTCCTGTTAGAGATGGACATATGCCCCAAAGGAATAAAAACAACCCACTGCTGTGCTCTGTCCTGCTGCAAATTATTCATTTTCACATACATCTCCAAAATACAATTTACATCCATATCCAACAACTTTTGGAAGTTATTGTTGAATCTGATAAAAACACAAACTCAAACATGAAACAAAAAATAAATTGCTCATGTTCCCTTCTGATTCTTTTGCTGGTTATCTTAAAACTGTCTTTTGGTCACGCGTGATTAAAACCTCTGTCAAGAGGAGGCAGGTTTTACAGAAGGTCAGAAAAGCAGAGAGAGGTTTAGGCACAGAACTGCAAAGCTTTGTCTTAAAGTGACGGAAGGCACAGCTGCAAAAGGTGAGCGACAAGAATGCAAAGGAAGAGGCTGATAGACAAGAGACTGGAAATGGAGAAGTGTACGTTGAGACGGTTGTTGGGAGGTTACAGTGATTGAGAGAATAGAAGAAACTGGAGCACATAAGGGCCATTCAGCCCATCAAAAACCTGCTCTGCCATTCAACAGGATCATGGCTGATCTTGGGGCATCAACCCTATTGCCCTGCCATCTCCCCCCGAGAGACTGAAAATCTATCCTAAGCAATCGTAAATGATGGGTCACTCATGACCCTCTGGGCCACAGAGTTCTAAAGACTCACAGCCCTTTGAGTGAAGTCATTTACCCTCAAATCTGTCCCTTGTCTCGGGACAGTGCCCCTGTGTTTTAGATTCCAAAAACAAACAATCTCTCAGCATCGAAATAAAAGTGAAGCACTGCAGATTCTGTTTCTTTATCACTGATTTTCAGCGAGTACTGGAGAAACTCAGCATGTGTGGCAACGTCAATGAAGAAGGGAGAACAGAGTTAATGTTTAGAGTCCAATGTGTTTCTTGCCCTGCTACGGGAAGGATGTTATTAAATTGAAAAGGTTGAAGGAAAGATTTATCAAGATGTTACCAGGACTGGAGAGTTGGATTTATAAGGAGAGGCTGGAAGGGTTGGGAATTTTTCTCTGGAGCGTTGGAGGCTGAGGGGTTTTTTTATAAGAGGTTTGTAAAATCATGACAGGCATAGATAGGATGAATAGCCAAGGTCTTTTCCCTAGGGAAGGGGAGTTCAAAACTGGAGGGCATAGGTTTAAGATGAGAGGGGAAAGATTTAAAAGGGACCTAAGGGGCAACTTTTTCATGCAGTGGGTGGTGCGTGTATGGAACGAGCTGCCAGAGGAAGTGGTGGAAGCTGGTACAATTACAACATTTAAAAGATATTTGGATAAGTACATGGATAGGAAAGATTTACAAGGGCATGGACCAAACACAGGCAAATGGGACTAGTTCAGTTTAGGATACCTAGTCGGCATGGATAAGTTGGACCGAAGGGCCTGTTTCCATGCTGTACGGCTCTATGACCCTTGCATCTCTCAGCATTGATTCTATCGAGCCCCTTCAGAACCTTGTGTTGCACTGAGATTGCATCTCTCCCTTATAAACTCCAGAGATCCTAGGCTCGGGTCTCTCAGCCTCTCATAGGACAGTGCTCTCATTCCAGGGTCTGGAATAGTGAACCTTTGCTGTACTCTCTCTCCAATGCAAAGGACATCCCACAAAGCAGGGAGGCTGCAGACAGATTTAAACAGAATCAGGAGCAAATGATTCCACCAGAGCGAATCTGTCGTAGCCTCCGATTTTGCAGGGTGCTCAGTGCCAGGCAGGTACTCAGGACATTCCAGGCATCGGGCAAAAGCTGACAACCCAACATAAGATATTGAAGGCACGTAGCAAGACTCCCTCAACAAACTGGGCAGTCTGCTACAGGCATAGGCTGTACAGTTCTGGCCAACAGAAACAAAATATTGCAGGGATGGTAGCAATCGGGAATAAAAACATAAAGTACCGATAAAAAAGAGTTAACGTTTCGAGTCCAATGTGACTCTTCTTCAGAAGGGAAGATTCCGAGTGTTTTCTCTCCACCCCCTGGAAGTGCTGGTTTGTAAACAATGACCTTTGACCTTGTGGAGATCCCTACAGCTCACCCAGTACAGAGAGTTTGAACTCCTTCTCAGCGAAGACAATCCTGTCATCCCTGGCTGTCACTTCACAGCGGTACGTGGCCATGTCTTCACGGGTCACCCTGAGCAGCCTGATGCTGTACCCGTTCATTTTCGCCCGGTTCTTGTATGCATCTTCACAGAAAACAAACCAGAAAAAAACACTGAGAGGCTGTAAGTGGGGGAGGACTTGTATTTACGCAGTGCCTTTCATGTTAATGGGATGTCCCAAAGACTAACAAATTTATTTTCTGTAAGCAAACAGGATGCCAATTTATTGCACAGCAAGGTCCCACACATAGCAATGAGATGAACTGCCAGCTGTGGCTTTGTGGGTGAATTTAAAGTAGCCCATGGAGCTGTGTCAAAGAAGACCAAGGGAATATGTGCCCAGGACTTCGATATAGTATACGGAATCTTTATCATCCTTGGCAACAGAGCAGACTATGCCCCAGTTTAAAACCTTTTGTAAATTGATGTAAATGCATTAAAATGACAGGTCAAGCTCCCAAAAATTGGACTCCATTTCAGTAGGAGTGGTGCTACCCTGGTGGAGCAGATGTTAATATTAGCTGAGGTTAGAGTTCAGGCTGGTGGGCACAATGAGCTACCCTGCCGTACCCTCTGCTTGCCAAACGCTGCTGGGGAAGCCAGCATCATTCTTGTGTTACTATGACACTTCACTTCTCCCGTTGTGTTTGCTAAGCCACATTTTAAATTAACCGCAGCCTTACCCAAACCTCACATTCTATCCTGCATTACCAGATGCTTCTCAGTCACCCCTGGTCTCATAGAGATCTGCTGCTCCCCTTCTCTCATCTGGAAGTTTGTCTACACCAACATTGCCCTCACCCACCTCCGTCAAACATTTTCCAAATACGTGCACCAAGCCCTCCCCATAAAGAAAGCTTTTTTTGCTCCTCCCACTGCCGTCATTACTGCACTGCAGGATCCCGGTAACCATCTCCCCTTCTCCTTCAGGTTATCTACAGGCCTTCTCTAGACCTCCCTCAGACAAGCCTTGCTCCCTCCACCACACCATTTCAGCAAGGATATTGTGGCTCTCCGCATCTACCGTGCCAAGATCAGTACCTCATTCCTTCTCTCTTAAAACAACCTTCTCTGTGACCGTGCCTTTCTCCCAGGTCCTCTCCATCCCAATGAATTCCCCTACCTGACGAGTCAAATTCATCAACTCATCAGTCCTTCTGTTTCAACTCCCTTAAACCATCATCCCAATCAAAACCTTCTCTCAACCTGTGCTCATCCCACCTCATCCAATCCAACCCAACCTAACCTCGGATATCCTATTTTCTTCCCACCCAGCGCTGTGTGTGTATGTGTGATTGTGTGTGTATCCATGCTATCATGTTTGTGTGATAGGGTGTGTGTGTGTTGTCTGTGAGATTGTGTGTGTGAATATGTGTATATGAGAGAATATGTGCGTGTGATTGAGTGTATGTATGAGAGTGTGTGTGATTGTGTGTATGTACGAGGGTGTGTGTGTTATTGTGTGTATGTATGAGGGTGTGTGTGTTAT